ATACCCCAAAAAATTTATTTACCTACAAAACCCGGCCCCCCCCCCCCCCCCCCCCCTTGAAAAACAATTGACTCGAGCTTTTCGAAAAGTCTGAGTGATTTTTTCAAGTCAGTCGCTTTTCAGGGCAAGACCGAGTTTATGAAGGCGGTAAATTTTATTGCGATATCATCTTGTAGACCAAACAGTCTGAAACTGAACGCTACTAAAATTAACTCGAAACTTTTTGGCGGGAAAAACTTCTAGATGATTCTTTAAGCGACTCGCTCATCCCTGTTTCAAGCCGTCTGCAGATATATTTTCACCATGCAACGTTGATAATAAACACTATTCGATTAGGCAATAGCTTCAACGACGATATAATTAAAAACAAACTACGTAAAACAATAAATAACACTTGGAAAAGAAAAATACATTGTCAGATAATATTTTTTATTGAGAATATTGCGATACGGTGATTATGGCATCAGAAAACATAAACATTATGCATTTTGCCGTCTGTTTTACTAATAGTCGCACTGATGTCTTGCAGCCAGATACTTTTGATTATTTTTGATTCAAAAGCATTCATTTTGCTTTTTCGTCCACTGACAGAAATTTGCAAGTATGATATTTGAACAGATCTATTTTGATTGAATTGTACTTTATTCATTATTTTTATCAGTGTGACAGAGTCCACGTTGTAACGATGACTGAATATGGGATAATTTGTGTTATTTAGATAAAGATGTTTCTTTTATCACGAGATGCATAGCGCTTTAAAAGGTGTCTCAATGTTGAACGGAAAAATTCTCTCATTTCTTATAGAAATAATATGTGATCTCAATCAGAAATAGAAAATTTGTTCTTTTCACACACTTTGTACACCTTATACAATTTCACATCACTCTCTAATTGCAAATGATTGCCTTTTATTAACAATGCGAAAAAAACTGAAGTATTTTTGAGAATTTGCTGAATGCGCATCCATTTCTGAAATTGATTTGAAAGCGACATTACTAATTCGAATGAGACTCTAAAAATGGAAAGTATCATTATCTTGCAACACAATGTTTCAATCCTATTTGAAATTGAAATTTATGAAAATTAAACTCAACATTCAGCATAATACAGTAATCGTGCATGTAAAATTTAGTAGTTATGTTCAACTATGTAAAATATGTTTTAAACGAAATAAAAAAGATAGAAAAGAGACTTTTGTCATTTAATCGTTAGTTTCTCAAAAGCTTTCTTTCTTACTTTACCTGTTCTTGTTCAATAGAATATATTTTACACTTGGATGAAGACATTCTTGATGCAGACTAAAATTCTAACTTGTGACGTTTGATTAGTTCAGTTCAATATCTCTATCTTTTTTTCTTTTCAGATATTTTGTACTGATGAAGGTGAAAAAAAAGGATTATGTGATTAGTGGCACACATCGGCACAGTTATGGTGAATGATGTTTTGATAATTAATCTTTTTTCGGAAAGTTGTCCCTTTCTCAATGTTTTCGGCACGTACTCTAACACAGATATAGAATTATAAATGTCAGTTAGTCAACAAAATACAACAGCTAAAATCGTGCGTTATAGATTGTCAAAGTGGAACAAACTTATTATCAAAAAAAACCCAACAAAAATGTCTAACGAGAAAACCTTCCCAGGTATCAAACTCCGTTTTCGATGATCTTATGCCAGTTGATAGAGGAAAGTGTTCGAGTTAAAACCCTAAAAGGAATTGTGCTCATGGTACTTCTTTCAAGAGTTGTAAATTTTTCTTTTTGTTTTACTGGGAAAACAGATACAAAAAAGATCAGTCAACAACCTTACCAAATCATTATAATGATGGAATAACTGTTATTCACATAGAGAATAAATCACACCACCGAAACAAACAAATTAAATAAATTATAGAGAGCGAGGGGCAAGAAGATAGCTTTTCCATTCGGAAACATTAACAGGACTACATATGATTAACCATAACAAAAGAAAAATGAATTATTGGAAAACATGGTTTTTTGTAAATACAAGGAAATCAATAGATTGTTTTCTAGAGAGGCTAAAATGCCAATTTTTCCTATAATATTAATCGAGTATTAGAAAAATCATGGAAAAAAATGTCAGCTCAAAATTCGCTGTTTTTATTGAGATACAAAATTTTTGTGTTTTTGTACCTGTTTTACCAGTGAAACAAAAAAAATTCATAACTCTTGAAAAAAGTACCATGAGTACAATTCCTTTTAGGGTTTTAACTAGAACATTTTCCTCTATCAACTGGTATAAGATCATTGAAAACAGAGTTTGACTCCTGGGAAGGTTCCTGGTAAGAGTGGAATATATAGATTCATGAAGAGTCAAAACAGAAGTCGATTGCTATTCAATGTAAAGCTATTGGAATATCAAAGACAATTAAACAACGATTGTTTTAAATATTGGAAAATTACTCACATGATAATAAACATAACTATGGATGTATCGGACGATAAAAGTTGTTCTATTCCCAATTTGTAAGGAATATGCTTAGTATTTTAAACAAAAGTAGTTTTTGATGTTATTCAAGGTACCTAATATTCTGCTATTTTTTGATAGGATCGACTCTGCTCAGTCTACTAATATCTTTTATTACTGAACTGGAATTAATCAACAGGAGAACTGAACAAATTAAACTTGTATCTCGGATTAGACTTGAGTTCCCATTTCAAGAAATCATGAGACGGCGGCAAATATGCACTGTTCATAGAGAAAATGTTCCACTATCAAAAAAAAAGTCTTGGATATCTTTTAAAAACTTCATCATGAAGATCCAACGTTGTTCCACAGATTTAGTTATTGTTCTACTAGAAGTTGCATGACCTACGATTCTCTGGTTAATAAGAGTCACAAAAAAAGACTGTTGATATGAGCGCAGTAGGGGAACGGGTGCTGCATAAAGAATAAGAGGATTTGTATTCTCAGTTTCTCACCATCTCTGACGTGCTCTAGAGTTCTTTTTTTAAAAAGGTTTGCTATTTCCATTCTCTACGAAAATTTGTCAAAAGGTTTTAATAAAATGTAACAGCGAGAAATTATATGAAAAGTTTTGGGATGCTCCAACCCAGACGCATTCGCCCGATCGGATCCTTTTAATTCCGATGATTTGCGGAGATCGGAATCCTCTCAGTTCCTTTGCATTCCGGTATCTAGATCGCGGAGGAACCGTAGATCGGATCCGTTAATTTCCGGTCACTAAAAACTGATGATGCTGTGGTGTGCACTTGTTTATTTTTATTTATTTCTTTTCTGTGCACATAATATATCCACCGTTTTGTTTCCCAACAGCAGCATAGGACGATGCATACTAAATATACAGTAATCTGTTGAATTGAACGAGACTAATTTATCCGTCTGAATAATGTTTACAATCTTGTTTATGATTGTTAACCATTAAACAATTCCAACAAAATTTTGTGTTACATTTTTTACATTTCATTTGATCGCAACCGGACGATTTTTCAATTCGATATGCACATCCTGGACATACTTTTGTATTCACGTTTAACCATTGTATTGTGCGATTATCGGGAAAATCATACTCACAACATGTTAGACCATGATGCCATTGTACACGATGATAAAAACATGTAAATTTTTTACATTCTATACATTGAAACCATGGACACTGTTCACTGGTAATACTGACACGTGTTCCATATATATACAATAGACGTGAAACCTTCGACGGATGAGTTTTTTCACGAGGAAAATAATAAATTTGTCCAGAACCACATCCATGTGAACACCAACAAAACTCATTCATTTGTTCGAGACATTGATGCAATAATGCATCATCATATTGTTTGAATAATTTTGAATTACGAGATTTTTTACGCAGCAAAATATATTTTATTGTATTATAATCAAATTTATTTGAGCATTCATATTCTGGACATTGAATTTGAGCTTGTACACCATTTAATTCAAATTGATTTTTAATGTAGTGAACAATACATAAATCACATATTGTTTGAGAATGATTACAATTTCGAGAATATATTATGAAATAATCATCAATTAAACGAGATTGATAACATACAGAGCATTCTTTAATAGTTAATATTCTTTTATTCTTACATTTATTATGAAAAAATCGAGAGATAAATTTAAATAATCGTATTTTTATAGACATTCCTGAAAAACAAAACTGAAAGATGTTACTGTCTATGAAAAGACTTTAATTTTTCAACTAGTATTCGCATGTTTGATACGTTTACCCTGATTTATAACGTTATACTAATAAAAATAGGAATAATAATCAAGTTTTTCACCTTTTAATTCATCTAATATATATCTAACTGCATAGTCAAAGTACGTAATATTAATTATGAAAGTGTTGAAAATTCACCTAAGTTTTTATGTAACAACTTTTGTTTTTTATTTCATTAACATTGACCTAATTAATTTAACTATTAACATAGAAACAGCACTTTACTCATACTAAAGTAGGTCTTTTATTCTTTCATTTTCTACCTGACACACACACACATATATATATATATATATATATATAGAAGAAAGTAATCTTTTTTTCTTTTCTATATTAGTTCAATTAGAATAGTTGTAGTTTTGATAAGAAAGAAAAAATATGTTTATTATAGAAAGTACGCCATAGAGCAAAAAAGAAACTTAACAAGAAGAACTGGAAATAAGTTGAACAAAAGAGTAAATCTAAAAAAAGATGTACAATTTATCGATTCATCAATACAATATACAAAGGATTATCTCAATTTTCAAAAGTTTTCCTATTTGACTTTGCTGGCATAGGATTAAATAGAGAATTTTAAGATGCATCTGTCTGTATATTTTTTTGCGTCTTAGCAAGACCCTACTTGCAGAAAAACATATCGATATCGTGTTGATATTGTTTACTACAAGAATGTGCAATTTTTAAAAAAAATATTCTGCTGATAATGCTGTATTGTACTAGCGTTTGAAGCTTGAATTTATCCATGTATTGCTTCAATCTTTTCTCGCTTACCGTTTTTACTCTTATTTAAAGACCACTCACTCAGTGATTCGATATAAGTTATGAGGAATATTCTTGAGCTTTTTGCGGGCTACAAAATGAATTTGAGAGTTTGGTTCTCTATAATTTTGGTTTGCCATAACCAAGCCCTCAAATTTGACTAAGAAACTTTTTGGAAACAACTTCATCATATAGAGCAAAACATTTCTCAATCGAATTTGAGGACATGATTTTCTAGGATTTGGGTTTCTCGTTGTCACGCACCTGCTTCTGATATGAAAGAAAATGTCATCGACAATGTTTTCAACCTTAATTATAAAATAAGTAGACAATTGGCATGACGTTACGCCTTTTTTATATCTATATCAACAAACATCGATCAACGACAAATTTCGCTGATCTGAAAACATCTGACGTCTTCGGAGTCGAAGATTTATGCAAATTTGTACGTACTTGAAAAATTTATCTGTTTAATACATGTGGACTCTTCTGTTAGAAACCTCTCTGAGTAACTAAAAGTTAGATCTGATCAAACTTTCAGAAAATATTCATCATACCAAATTTATAGTAACTGATATTTACTCCGAAAATCGATCTTCTTTAGGCACAAATATTTGTTTCTATGTAAAAGAAAATTTGAAGACTTCTAAAAGCTCTGTTACAGTTGGTTCTGATAAATGCTGAAGGCCATATAGTGGCTCGAAAAATTATTCATCCACCTTTATTTTTAATTTTTCTCTTCAACCAAGGCTCTGAGGGCATATCTTTCGTGTTCTCCCGTCAATTTTGCTGCTTTTGGTGGTATCGGATCATTTCGTAAGTTGAGTACTATTTCATGAAAAGATGTCATAGGAAGCGTGGAGATGTCTCATTTTGTTCAGAAATGTTTGCCCTATACGACAAAGTTATTTGTAAAAAAATTTCTCGATCGAATTCGGGGAAGCGTTTTTCCGAGATCTGGGTTTTTCGCCCTGGCTTCAGAGATTTCGATGGAACCTTTATATACGCCATACCAGATTGAAAATTTTTTTTGTCAAATTTTTCTAGGTATTATGATTGAAGAGAAAAATTAAAAATAAAGGTGAACGAATGATTCTTCGAGTCACTGTACGTAAACAAGTGCTGTAAAGGTATACTGGGCATCTTCCGCTGCACAAACATTCTCTAGAGACAGAAACACTATTCAAGCGCACATTTTTTATAGGTTAGGTTTTTGACTCTGACTACCCACTAAAAAAAATTTTGAAATCCTGCGCGCCAACGCTGGAGTTTTCAAAAATTTTGCTAGTGTTACGCAGATCCTGCAAATTTTTCCACCGAGCAACACCGCAAAAAAATTTTCTACACAATGTTAAGCATATCCTGCAGGTTTTCTCAACATTTTTCTTGTAAAGTTATAAAACTTTTCTCGTGTCCAATAAACTTCTAGAAAATGTATACCTTAATATTTAACCATAATTTTTAATGTTTTTATCGAAGTTTTCAAATTGTATATCATTCAATAGAGTAGTCAAAGCTGAAGAAATTAGAATATTTTGATATCTCTCCTTTGCTATATCTATACATCTTTTTTTTCCACCGTAGTTGGATCATTCTAATGACTTTAATTTCTTATTGATGGAAGAAAATGGAATATTTCTGACATAAAGAGGATCTTTTCAGCTGTGGGTTTTGTGTACACATGGAAATGCATGTTAAAGTAGAGCAACTTTCATGTAGCAGTTCTCTTTGTTTGCTAATGGTATTATCAAAATCAGTCTAACTCTGTATAAGCTGATATTTTTATTTATTTTAAATAAGTTTTAAGTTGACATTTTAATTTCTTGAAAAAAACATTTCGTTTCAGTAATATGGTATTAACGTATTTATGCACCCGTCTTATCTTTTCTTTTCAGCATGAATAGTTTCTATTATTATTATTAATGTTTCTTGCTATGGAACATTAATAATGAGAACAAAATCTCTGCAACTTCATTTTCTCACGAGACATTAAACTAATCAATTGACTAGCAAACAGACACCAAAGAACATAACTATCAGCCAAATGAAGTTATGCTTAACCAACAGATTTCTTTCACCAGCAGAACCTAAAAAAGCAAGACTAGTCTGCCGAAAAAAGGTATCAGAAAAAAGCTATTAGAAGCGTTTCCAGCAATAAAAATACAGAAAAAAGATGTGCGTAAGCAGGTTCACAGCATAGCACATTCGTTTAAAGTACAACAAACAAGAAACTGATCATGAAAAAATCCGATTGTTGAGCATAAAATTGTTGACCATTCTTTTTGACTTGATCTTGGTCAGAACTTTTGGACGTTCTCTAAAGCAGAATTATATCAAAATATTCTGTTAATTTAGCTTGAAAAAATATTCTTACATTATTCCGTTTCGTCTATTGTAGTATTCTAAAGAGGCGTGTTCAATGGGTCGTGGTCTTTTGTCTTTATGAATTAAAGAATTCTAACAAAAAAGAATATTTTTCTTCGAGTTCTGCATTTATCATGCAGCTGCTTTTCACAACTGATAATTCATGGATTGCACTACGCTTGAAATGTTCTAACATTTTATTCATATTCAACCGTCATTCCCATCTCACCCGTGTATTCCACAATTACTCGGAATTAGCCCATTTACTATGCCACACTAATACCATTAGGCCACGGATGTGCCTAAAATCACAATCTTATTAGAACAGTTGTTCTCTTATTTACAATAACATTTATTTATCTATTTACATATGAAAAAGCTTTACACAAAAAGAAGTAGACTAGACTAATAAACATAGAAGTTCTTAATTTTGTGACTGATGACTTTATTACAAGCATTTCCCTGTGATTCGTTGCTATTTTCGTGTCATTCGAAGCGTCATTCATTTCTTTTGTTTTGTGAGCAGCACCCTTTTTTCTGATGGTAGTAACGTCATTCATGATCGATTTGATCCATGTTTGATAATATGCGACGTTTGTGTATACACCACTGAAGTGTGCTGAGGCGCAACCGACACCATATGAGGTGATACCAACCAATTTCCACAGATTTTTCGATGAAAACATCATCACTGGACCTAGCGAAGGTTCACTTATCACAACGAGTTTGAGTGAGCTTTTCATTAGATAAATCTACACTGCTCATAATCGAACATGTAATTTTTGACAATTTCATTCCTGAATCACCTTGACACGTATCTTCAAAAGAAAAGATCTTTTTTCTTTTAATTAAATGAGGATTTTCGATGGATGTAAGTCCGTAAGTAATAGTTATTCCCAATTTTGTTTGTTTATATATTATTGAAATAAACCAAAATTATTTGTGTGAAATCAACAGCCAACATTTTATTTTATTCAAACTACAGAAGCTTTCGATTGGTAACATCAATTACATCTAAATATAATTTAACATTAGATCTTTTCGTTTCTATATGATAACTCTCTTTTACTTTTTCTTTTTTTTCTTCTTTAATATATTTGAACTGAAATCCTAACGATGATTGACGTTATCAATCGAAAGCTTCGCTATTTCAAATAAGTTAAGTTTTAGTTGTTAATCTTGTACAAATCATTTGGCACAATAGATATTTGCCAGTTTCTCTTACCTTTTCCCCCACCGTGGATCCCGGCACAAAATTGTAACGTTGAATGCTCTAAAATTTGTCTGCAACTGACTGCTTTATTTGACACAACTTGAATTGTTATCTGTTGTAATGTGGTTGATACTAATTTACTATCCGACTTTAATGTACCCCAGCCAATGGCGACGAGGCTGGTACCAATTATAGGATATCCTTGTGTACGCAGTAGCTCTGAATTAATAGTTGGTAAACATATTTTTGATATTAGAAAATCTTCCATATTCAGTGGCGTTTTTAAGCGAATAATAGCAATGTCATTTACATATGTGTCGGGATCGAATTTTGGATGAACGTATGTCTTTGCTAAAGATCGTGTTTGACCAGTTTGTGATAGATTACTAATACCAGCAGCGATCGTAGCCATTGATAATGCAGGAATGTGAGTTATACAATGGGCTGCTGTGATTATATAGAAAGCTGAGAGTATTGTCCCTCCACAAATGTGCTTATCATTTACCCGTAAAGATGCAGACCATCCCCAACTACTGGGTTTAGCCGCTTCACCACCAACGATCTTTGATAGAACAGCAGAATTTTTCGAACAACCACATGCACTCGCTATATTACACATGTAAGTCCTAGCATCTACTTGTCGGAACAAGCAAAATACTACCAAGGAAAGAATACAATTAACCTTCATAATCTGTCAATAATCAGTCAGTCATATTCTGCACTATTCTTCAGACTATATATCTAATGGTTATTACAATGGTTATGTAAATAAACACTTCGTGCATGACGTTTTTTGTTTGCTTTATTTTCCTGTTTTTTTGTTTTTCATCAGCAGCAACTGATTTTATCTAATGTATTATCATATATAAAAAATAACTTGCGAAAACATGCATTGTTTTCGTTTTCCCACTACGTTTTTCCATGAACCCTTATACTTTATTCTATTTACAGTTACAAAACCCACAGTATCATCATTCAATTAGAGTATACTCTCGAAGAGTACTCATGACATGCCTCCGCTCAATTTAAAATTTCTTTTTGTACATAATCATAAATGACAAACGCTTATGGTGATGATAGTATAGTTTTCTGTGACATAGTAAATAATAACAATAAGTAGTTTTTCAATGATGAGCATATTTTTGCTTTTCCTATCATCATTGTCGATTAATATTCTCAATGTGTCCTACAAATATAACGACATTGACAAAAGTGATTCGGATCTTGACTGTTTAATCGATCGTTGGGTCATAATCTAGTATCCTTGGCTCATATAAAAGTATAGTCAAATTCTAAAACAACATTGTGAGTCTTTAATAAACTATTTAACTAGGTAGAACTATAGATAGACTGAAACTATCCATATATTGTGTGATTCTTCTAGTGTCAGTTTCCGCGAAAATGTTACCAAACAACGATACAGCTATACGTTATGGCGGTAGAACCTATCGGATACAATAGTGTATAAACTTCATTTTAAGAACACATCAGTTCGGTATTGTAGAAAAAGTCTGAAAGTAAGTAATTTCTCTAGTGAATGTACTTGAGACCAAGTGCTTAGAAAAGTACTTGGGTAAGTAATGTTCAGAGTACCTGGAGTTTTTTGCAAGTAAAGAAGGTACTTATCGAGTAATTTAACAAGTATAAGTAGTGGATAAGTACTTCATCAAGTATTTGGCAGGTAACCTGGGAAGTACTTGCGGAATATGTGCAAGTATCCACTGTTCTTCCAAGGTCTTTTGCACGTATCAATTCAAAAAATGCTGGATAAGTGCTTAACCAAGTACTTTAGAAAATTTGTAAGTAGCTAAGTACCTGATTTCAAGTACATTCACCAGGGTTATATTCTGTATATGAGTAGGAGTCACTATATAATACGGCAGAAAAGCATTGCACAGCTTCAGTCCCAAGCAGTATATATAATAATAACATCAAGTTTACTTTTGAAGAAACCTATGAAAGTAAAAAATTTATTTAGTTTCGGTTCATTAACTAAACAAGGATTGACTGAGTATTCTCTGTTATTGAACCTAAGCATTCATTTTACAATATGTACTTGTATAACACATATTTATGTTTGTTGTTAATCGTTTGATAGTATTATTGCATGACATGACTCAGGCTTTAATACAACAAGGACGATATGATATAGCTAGATGTATCAATAGATATTATTACGGCAATAAAGATGGGGTGTTTTTTAAATGGACGATAAATTCGATGCCTATCTCAGTAAAGAAACAACAGCGGAAAGGTAATACAGATTCTAATTACAGAGTGTAAGAAAAAGGTGTATATAACCTTTTCTTACTATAGCGCAAATAGATAATGAATGCTATTATAAGAATAGGTGAAACATTATAAAAATAACGGGCAACAGAAATTAAGAGAACTTGCGCTATATAAAGTTACCAGAATAGTCGAGTGAAACAAGATGCAGCATAATAATTTATCATTTCTAAGAGAAGCCAACATAAGCAGAAAAAAATAAAAAACGGGACCAGTAGTCATATCGCATTATACATGTTTTTAACTAACGTAAGGCGCTCCAAATGCAGAATTATTTAACAAAATACAAGAGTGGGATATTGCAATTTGGAGTTCAGAGGAGGTTACATTTAACTCAAAACATCAATTTATTTCGTTTTGTTAAAACAAAAAACAAAGACAGTGTCATGAATGCTATTCTGCACGAAACTGAAATATTCACCGGTGTCATTTAAATTTTAGCCAAAAAAGGTACGAGACAATATTTGAATAGGTAACCAGTTGATATTCGTATTCCTGTTCTTATTATTGCTTTAAAACACTTTCTGCTAGAGCACATCTGAATCCATACATGGATGCCAATTGTAAAATTCACAGTTCGAAAAAAAATCCGTTAAAATCGGAACAAAAGCGGAAAGAAACGGGATTAAAAATCGGAAGAACCATTTTTTTCCAGAATACTTTAACAAGTTAAAAAGATAACAGCTTTTTACTGCTGCAGCAACATGTATTCTTCTTTGAAACAGAAAAAACACATCCAACAACACTTATAAAAATTTAGTATTTCAAGCATTGACTGTTTCTTCTATGGTTTCCTTTTACCTAGCCATTCATAAAAAACAATGAACTGTGAAACAAATCAAAACAGAAACATACTACGTCTTATGAATACGTGGATTTTCGCTATATCTATGTATTTTTTTGACTACATACTGCTTTTAATAGATCTGGCTTAGATAGAATTAATTAAATTATAAAACTGGTTACACTTAATATCGATCAAATATATGATACGTGAAAAAAGAAAAAAAAAAGAACGCTTTAAGTATGACGTCATGTTAAGCAATCCAATTCTTTTACGGATATGTACTTTTCAGAAAAAGTAAAAAACGCTTTATGATCGAAATCGCACATAATCTCTGCATCAGCTCGTTCGTAAAAAAATGCCCAGAAATGACAACTATCACAAAAATAGATAGAAAAATTGTGTAGGTGATTTTTAAAAAAAAATCATTTCAATTTGAAATGCTATAAAAACTTTAAGGATTTTAAAGTCATCTGTCAAGCTCGTTTATCTGACTTTCTGATAATGTCACTCAATTACTTAATGAAGCCATATTCGAATATTGGAGGGAGTCTCACTGAGTTTCCAAAACTGAATAAGTGCTGAATTCAACTCCTGTGCTCAATTTTAAGCGTAATTTAGCTTTTTTCATCGATTCTTTTATCAAATTGAAATTTATTTTATATAAAACAAACTACCACTTTCTTTCCAAAAATTTTTTCACCTGTGAACGAGTCAATCGGCTGAAAATTTAATTCACGGCGAAATTACGAGTCTCAAGTGGAAGCAGCTACACTTATCTAGAAAAGAAAGAAAGTAATCTAAAAAAAAGAGATGTTCCTGCTTAAATTTTCACGTTTTATATACTTCTATCGGTATCAATTTTTTGATCACCAAATATTTCAGCAGGCATCTCACATTTTTATTTCTCAACAAAGTATAATGTACAATACAAACATATTCATTGAAATATTAACTAAATGAATAATATTTTCACAGTTTTATTTTTATCTATTTACAAATTTAAAGCTGTGCTAACTTTCTTGGGACACCCTTTTGCTTTTCGCTTGCCTAATAGTTGAATACGTGTTTTATCGCTAACTTGATACAAGTTAAATAAAATTGCTAATCTAACAGATTGTTGCCACACCAGAAAATCATTGAATGTAAGCCACTGACAAGAACGATAAATATCTACCCAATGACACATTCAATGATTTTCTGGTGTGACAACAATTCTGTTGGCTTGTTGTATCATTAGAATCATGTAGCTGCCCGGTTGGTATGAAAGTATGTTCATGTAAACATTTGTTGGATTAGCAATTTTATTTAACTTGTATCAAGCTAGCGATAAAAACACGTATTCAACTATTAGTTAAACGAAAAGCAAAAGGGTCTCTAAAGAAAGTTAGCACAGCTTTAAATTTGTAAATAGATAAAAATAAAACTGTGAAAATATTATTCATTTAGTTAATATTTCAACGGATATGTTTGTGTTGTACATTATACTTTGATGAGAAATAAAAATGTGAGATGCCTGCTGAAAAATCTAGTGATCAAAAGTATCTTTTTTTGGTGATTATTTGTATCTAAAAAGGTTTGGTGATCAAAAATACATTTACTCTACTTCTACAGACAGAAGACAAAACTATGAATATTTTTTACATTCTCCCTAAGAAATTTCTAGAGAGTCAGCAGGGAATCACCAGAGACTTCAATATTTCTCTCCACTTCCTGAAAATCAGAGATTCATCAGGGATTTTACAGGTAATCACTGAGAACTCCATAGGGGTTTCACGTTATGTCGGGGACTTCATGGGGAAAGTGTACTAGGAATGAGAGCAAATAGGTCAATATTACAGATAAATAGTACAAGTTTAGCAGACAGTAAAATATCGATCAGTATAGACATACTGACTAGAAAATGAAATAAAATGAACCATTTTAACATGAATCAAACTACTGGTTACTAAAAGTTTTGTGCTAGTTCTACGATGTCAAGTCCGTAAAACTATGGGGAACTCCGACTCTTCTTTTTTCCCCCTTCTTTAAAAAGATGCTGTAGTGGTGTAGTAATATGTTGATCGTACAGTGACGTTTGATATGTTGAGAAAAAATGCATAGAAAACAAAGAAAGGATTGAACGATAACTGAAACTTTTCGAATCAGTATGATATATTTTTCATTTTATTTCGTTTCGAGCTTATAAAACTCATCGGAGCTCTGAAACAATTCTCACTTATCCCGACAAAATATTCATTACAAACTGTTGTTGCAATGCTGAATTTTGTCATGAGTATTAGTATTTAATATAATAACATATTTTTTAGTGCTGAAGGATAGACAGAAGTCGATATATCTATATACAAATTTGTGATTATGGTCCCCATGAAACTATTGTCCATCTGTATTCATTAACTGCTAAAAGTCCGTTACTTACAATGAGTATCTCATTTCTTTTTTTATGCCAACCATTTAGGACAATTATTTTTATTATTTCTTCCTTCAACTGCCAGGTCAGCCTCAGTCTAAATCATATATTTTTGTTTGCTTTATGATGGGTGTCAATTGATTGAAAAGTATCATACTAAAATGAAGTAAACACATATAATATTTATACTCTATGTGTAATATAATTTCACTCATTTCTTTATAAACATCAAATATAGTTCATATGATGTAAAACAGACCATTAAGGTCGTGTTTTTTATTTATTTATAGAGATGTATACGGCAATAAACCGATCTTATAATTATTTATCAAAAAAAATATTCTAAGGCTTTTGCTAGTTTTCACATAGAAATGTATTTATATTTAATGTTTAGTCTTATTTGTACTAATTTCTGTTTAACAATATACAATTGTGATAGATCCAGTGTAACATGTGGATGCTCAGAAAATCCGGCCATTTTATCAAAAATTGTTGGCGGTGAAGAAAGCATACCGAACAGTTTTGGATGGGTAGTATCGATAAGAATGTATTCATCTCATGTTTGTGGCGGATCAATTATATCTGATTTTTGGATTATAACAGCCGCTCATTGTATACCAAGTAATTATGTGTTCGGCAGTTTCTCTATAATGGCTGGAATTCAAAATCTATCTGATATTGGACAAGAACGATTGATTGTAGAATCATTTGTTCATCCTCAGTATGATCCAGATACCTTTGATAATGATATAGCACTTGTTCGTCTAAATTTACCATTAGATATGACACATCGATCGCTGGCGATCATATGTTTACCAATCATTAATAACACTTTACTTGATTTTCAAGAATATCCTTCACCCGGTACTCCTCTCGTTGGAATTGGGTGGGGTACCTTAATGTCAAATAATACAGAACCATCTGAAACATTACAACAAGTTACGTTAGAGACAATTGCTAATTACAGAGCATTTTGTATGAGCATTATACATAATGTTACTCTACAATTTTGTGCAGGTATTGATGGCGGCGGAAAAGGTAAGAATTGCTTCGAGGGAGAGTTCAGTAGCTAATTTATCAAAACGTATCATTAGGACTAAATTGTGTTAAAAACACATTATTTGTATTGTGCCACATTATCTTTTTTCCTTTACTTTTTAGACACATGTCAAGGTAAGTCTTTTTAGTAGTTTTTGTTTTTTATTTATTTACGCTATTTATTATCAGGTGATTCTGGTGGTCCCATCATGATGTTTAGATCAACTGGTCAATGGGAATTAGTTGGACTAACATCGTACGGAGAAGGTTGTGGTCTTCCTGAATATGCTGGTGTATATACCAGATTAGCATATTATCAGCTATGGATCGAGAATATTACTAATATGTCTGATATCACAATCAGCACTACTCAAACGTCTTTCATCATCACAGAAGTGAATAACGGAACATTTAACTCAGCTGCTGTACTTTCAGAAATTATCTCCAAGGTCATATTTTCTAGTTTTATATATATTGTAGTTTGCAATATACTAGTTTCAGTCTAACCGACAGTAATCTCTTGATAGAAAAATAGATTTATAAAAACTTTTACGTATGTAGCTGATAAAAATTCACACCGGTTAAAAATAAGAATTTTTTGTGTTTTTTGGATATATTAAATAGAAAAAACATTTCAGATAGTATAAGAACTAAGAATATTCCAATATGTTCTCAATGATCACTTTTGTCGAACGTACAACACGTATAGAAGATATAAACATGACGTGTTTTGTCCATTCCCATAAGTTATTATTGCAAGAGACAAAGCAACTTATAAAACCGTGGTTGTTGATGCAAATATTTCAAGTAGGAGATACTTGAGAACCTATATTTAGTCGTTTTGATATATTGTTTGATTTCATCATTACTTATTATGACACTCGGTTATGTCATACCTGTGAATGATTTAGAAAAAGTAAAATTATAAATTTAGCACAGATACTATTTATCTGTATGAGTCCGTTATCTGAGATGTTTGAATCTCATGTAAAATTCTGTTAGAAATTGTTCAACTATCCATTTCATTCCAAACTGGTGTTTCTATCAAAATGAACCAGTTCTGTTGATTTAATGATTTATAAAACACTTGTCCCCTATTCATAATAAGTAACGATTGAATAGTACTCTGTGCTTGTTCAATCATTTCAAAAAGATCGTCTAGTTGTTTTACATCCACGATGTTTTCTCTCAAGGATTTACCAAAATTTCTGCGACAGTTTAAATCAGATGTACTTCAATCATACAACAGAACTTATTCGGTGTATGAGAATGAAATGTTCTCATTCTATCACTTAGCAGACGCTTCATTCTCTTATGACATATATATGTTCTTTCTGTCCTTCGTATTTACATGTTTGTTTTGGTACCAACAATAAACAAAGAGCCAGAACCTATAACCTTGAACCAGAGGCTATAAATTGTAATAATTTATAGCTTCTGGTTCAATGCCCTCAAAGGATCAAACTCAAGGGGAACCTGTGATTTTATTACGCATATATGTGCAACAAAAACAAAATAAGTGCGGAGAAAAGTGCATAGTCTAAAGAGAAATGGTTCTCTACCGAACCTTTGAAGGTTTATACTTTTGCAGCGAATTCGAAACCTCTAAAGGGTCTGTTCAAAAAAGATTTTGTCTGCAAACTCTTTATTCAAAAAGAGGTTCGGTGGCGCTCGTTTACCAGGATCTTTTGTTTAATTTTTTAGACACTGAAGCATAGGTTCAAGGGTCCATTCTAGGCTTAAAAGATAGAAAAGTTCCTGCTGTACAATACATAATAACTTGTTTCGTTATCTAAAATATAAACTATAAATATAACTATAAAATATAAATATCTCAGGCAGGGCTTATAGAAAATTTCCAAAGTATTAGAGAGATATACCACTGGTACTTTCTTTAACGAAATTATTAATTTTTTTAATTAAAAAGTGTTACTTGAAATACAAAGAAACCTGCAGTTTTGACAGATACGTTAATAGCAAACGACAAACGATTTTATGTTTGTAATACCCTATCATTTGCCAGATCGATTGTTTTCATAAGCATTCTTTGTGTTTCTGTGTTTCGGTTTATTTTCTTAGCAAGGTACATTATTGGCTGAATCACATGATCCTTTAATAGTATTACCCAAGCAAAAACGACCCAATTTTTTGGGTTATTTATCTAGATTCATCTCCACGTACATCTAGATGCACATGGAGCTGAATCTAGATAAATAACCCAAAAAATTGGGTCGTTTTTGCTTGGGTTAAAACGTAGACCATTTGCGCACTTTTCTTAAGTAATACTCAAACCTTAAAGAAACAATTATTTTAATTCAGGACGAGAGAAATTTTCACTTTTCTAAGGAAAGTAAATCTCTGTTGTTCTAGCATTATTTCCACTATTAAAGTAGGACTCTCTACTTTAATTTAGCAAGAGATAATGCACTCCTTCTATTACACACCTGCATCGCATCGAAAATATTTTCCAAATTGACAAAGATGATCATCGGAAAAACTATCTGTATTCGTACATTTGAAATATTCTAAATAAAAAATAAAACATTAGAGATAAACATCTATGATCATCCAACTTGTCTACTTAACTACGAAACAAGGCACATTATAAACAAATAATCTTATTTTCATCAAGTTTAAAAACAACTTTGGTAATTAGTGTAGATGCCATATTATATAATAGTTACAAACCATATGTTAAAGAACGTTTATCTTGAACTTTTTCTCTCGACTGCAGCGAAACTAAGAAAGAATAGAATTCTTAATTCTTTCGTCACTCGTGGAATAGATAGATATTGACTTGGATAAGGTGGATTCAGTTCTTTGTATTCAGTTTGAAGGAGTTCTACCGCAAATGTATTCTATGACAATGTACAAATGTATGCTAATACGCTTTTGTTCAACTTACGCTGCTAGCACCGTTGTCCCTTGAAACCCGGTAGGCATTTGCAGTATGCGTGCGTCGATATGCCGATTTTTCTGTCTACGCATTCAACACTATTGCCACATAAACCATTGTAACAAGTTCCCGAATTACCTGCATGATAAAAATCGTGAACGTATTACAATAAAAAGAAGTAGCACACAAATATTTAGATGTACCTATCAGTTCACAGTTGTCTCCCCACTTCCCAAGTAAGCATAGACAAACTGATACATACTTATTGGAGATCGACTTAATATTGCACACTCCGCCTTGATCACAAACAATATTCTCGCATAAACGAGATGCTATGTATGAGCGAAGAAAAGAATGAAGTAACGGACTTAATGAAATTAGAAGCTTTTTTACGATCTGAATTTTCGCATAGATCACCAGTAAATTCACTAGGGCACACACATTGCCCATTATTGTCAACACCATTATTTTGACACTTGTTTGACATGATTATAACCGGCGGTATGGTTACTCCTGTAGTATCGTCTAAAATGTGTTCTATTCTTTAGTCAGCTAAGAGAAAATATCAACTTATATGTATGCACAGACCTGGACAAGATTGACCTGCTAAGACTGCAGGTCTTCCTAATTCAGTCCGACAAAGACAGGTGAACAATTTTCCTGACGAGTTATCCTCATTGCACATGATCAATGAAGGACTTGAGCCACATACACTAGGTGTTCGATCACATATTCCCACATTGACACTCCGTGTAGAATATAAGCGATATTTTTAGTTTTATTCTTACTACATGGTTTGTTCAATATAGCTTGCTTATCAGGACACGTACAAATAGCATCGCCATTATTTTGAATATTGTAACATCCATAATTATTTCTTTCTGTAAAATAGATTGTGCTATTGGAAAGAGAATGTTTAGGTTGCAAGGATTATCCTTGACACAATCTACAATTTAATGAATGAAACAATGAATAATCAAAGTCCACCTTAGTGTCACTTTTGACTTCATATATACAAATATATAAGTAGAAAACAACCTTCTGAGATCGTTACTACCGCTGCACGAAGTACAATCGATTCGGAAACATCTAACACACACTCTTTTGTGAAACTTACCAAGACTTTTCGCATCCCGGACTAACATTATTACACAAAGGATAATCAGTGATTGATAATCCATAGTTTTCATGGAGATATGCAACAAATACAGCAAAAAAAAACTACTTCTTGATCAGGTTTTTAGGAGTTGAGTTTTACTGCATCAGAATGCTTTTATGTAATATCTGTGTAGGCAATTATGTTTTCATTGTTACCTGCAATGATACACGAACCGATTTTCTCCTATATGCTCTCTTTTAAAAATATGAATACGATGATCTTGTAGACTAAATACTACTAAACACACTAAATAAAAAAACAGGACTATCAGTTTTCGCACTCATAAACAACTATATTCGTGTAATGTTAGACTCGCAGATCAGGACAGATGGATGGACAGATTTCTGCACTTTTCTTTTGTAAACATAAATATGATCAGGCCATGAAAAAAATACTGCTGTTCAAATAAAACACACCTATAGATTTCTGCGACAGATCTGCACAAATTTTGTAACTTGCAGATGCTGCATATAAACAAAGATTTGTACCAAATTTTTAGATAGAATCTGTGCATACTCTGCGAAGAATTTCGTCACTATCCGGAACAGGTTTACACTAAATGTTTCCTTAGAATTTATTCATATTTTTATTATAACTTCCGATCGATATATCCGTTCATGCTCGCACTTTTACGATTGATAGTACTTATGTTTGTTTGCAAATGCTGAAAGTATTTGTTTTAAGTGAATGGAAAAGTGAAAAAATACTCGCAAAATGTTAGACTGGTGACTTTCCTCGATTGAATTTTATAAATACTATTTCTGTACGTAAGACACAGATTTATAAAGAAACTGTCTGTGCTTTTTTGTCGTTCATATTCAAACAAAACAGAACGTTCGTTGTCCCAGGTATCCAAAACGGTGCAGTTAATTTTTTGTTAATAACCCATCCAGTATCTGTTAATGAACATTTCCAGACCATTGAGACAATGTTTTGACCGTTTTTAGACATCGAAAATGGGAACATTCTAATGTCTAATAGTGGCAGTTTTACTATGCTAAAAAAGGGACATTTTCTAATGTTCGTTTTGAGGATACTATTGCACCATTATAGGCCGCTAACAACCTATTATTGGAACGTTTTCAGAAGTCTCTCTGACTAATAACCTCACAAAGAATGAATTCAAAACTTTCAATATTTTTGGTTCCGTAGAACCACAGTATTAGTTCCAAGATTAGACGCTACATCCATATACACTGTTGTTACAGGACACTTGTTTTTATTTTGTCCACGTTCCGAGATCTCTGTGATCTCATCTTCAATAACTTTTGATGTTGCAAATGAAATGACGAGCAAGTATTCACTCATACATCTTACACAGAAAAATTAATTAGAGTAAACGTA